AAATCGAGACACCTCCGAATTTCGCATAGAGGCCATTAAAATCTAAGCCAATGGTCTCCCACACCGTTTGTGGAGCAAAAACGCGGGCCATGGGAGTGGGCCTGCCGTTGGTTGCAAAATCAAAAACCTATAAGATAGATCATTAAATAAAAACTACCGCCGTAAGCTGCTTATCCTGGCTTGTGGCATTTTCGATCTCCATATAAATAGGACCGCCTTCTCCTTCATATAGCCGCGATGATGGATCGGCTATGTTTTCTTGTCCTCGAACATATTCCACATCGAAACTATATCAGGGCTGGTGGCGAGTCACTTTTTAGTGACTTGGTCACTTTTTTCAAGTCAGTCACTAAAAAGTCTCTTTTTTTAAGGCCAAGTCACTAAAGTCACTTTTTCTTGTAATAAGTCACTATTTTCAACTTTTTTAACGTAAATTTATTTCAAGATTGATTATTCTTTGCGTTGTGACGTTTAGTCGTCTTTCTCTATATACAGTATGTCTACTCGTTGTTCTGGATAAAATTACCTGAGTTTTCCAAGTAAGTAAGTCCAAGATCTAAAAATATTCAATGTGAATGAATATTGAAAATATTCAAAGTGCCAGAATTAAGTAAACAAAATAAATGATTTATTCCAAGTTCATAATTAACTTTATGAAAGATTAGAGATCTTTAATGCAGTCCCATCAACTTTACAACAATTGTAGGAGCTTTGGAGAAGTTCTGAGGAATGAAAGAAAAATGCTGAGAATTTCAGTGAAGCTCTATAAACAAACTGTAGGGACGTAAGGGAAGTTAAAACGCTGAAAATATGGGAAACTTACTGGAAGCCGTAAGAACCTCAAAGTGGTTCTTTTAGCATCCGAGAATTTTCAGGAACTTTTATGACGTTCCTAGAATTTCATCGAACTTCATAGGTGTCAAGCAAACTTGAGAAATTTAGAAAACTTGAAGGGTATTGTGCAATTTTTTAAGAAGTTCTTAGCACCTCAGAAAAGCTAGATAGATTAAAAATCTATAATCGTTTTAGATAAATTCAAGATAGTTCCAGGATGTGCTGGAAAACAAATCGAGAACCCTTAAGATGTTCCGCAAATTTCAGGGAAGTACAGAGACCTTCAGAGAATTTATGAAACTTCAGAAATATTTCAGAAGCTTCACAGAAGTCCAATGAATTTCAGGGAAATTTAAAAGTGTTTACGGGAATTCTATTTATTTCCGAGCAGAACCGAGATCTTCAATAGAACTAAGAGCTTTGTGGAAGCTTCGAGAACATCAAGACAGGTCAAAGAATCAAAGGACAGTTCAAATAATTTCAAGGAAATAGTAAAACCCGTATAGAAGTTTCGAGAAACTCAGGGAATTTCCGGAAACTTCAGCAATGCTCCGAGAGAATTTCTGGAACGTATTTTAAGGGTGTTATGTCATGGAGATTTGAAGAACTTAATACGAAAATTTAGCTAAGTTGATAAGAGAACATCAACAAAGTTCCATTAATTAAAGAACAATGTGAGAACTTTTAGCAAGCAGCGATATCTTCAAGAAATTCCAGAGAACTCCTAATAAATTTAGATATTTTTAGATAGTTTCATGATGTTCAGAGAAGTTCCGAGTACTTCGAGGATGATCAGATCGCTTCAGAATAATCCCATTAACTTAAGAAAATTTTTAGCGACTTACAAGGAGTTCCATGGAATTATGAAGTATTCCAAGAATTCTATGATTGATCCGAAAACGTCAGAAGCGTCAGAGAATTAAGAACATATATCAGAAAATTTGCCGGATTATTAAACAAATTTATAGAACTTCAGGTAAAAATACTGACAAGTTCAAGGCAGTTTAGAGAACTTTGAAGAAATTCAGCTATCGTTTAGGCACCAGGAAAGTCTAGACTATTGAAGAAATTTTAAATTAGTGTCGATAATTTATGGGCTGTACCATGAACTTCAGAAAAAATCTTGAGAACTTTAGTGAAAATCATAGAACTATATTAGTTATTTCGTTCTAATTCCATGAAAATTGCGGGAGTACAAAAGTTTCAGAAATTTAGAAAAACTACGAAAACTTTACAGAAGGTCAGTGGTCTTCAGAAACATTTCGAAAACTTCTTAGAAATCAATGGAGCTTAAGAGGAGATCTGCGAACTTCTTTATGAACATTAGAAAAATTCGGGAGCATCTAAAAAATTGGAAGAATCTCAGGGGGAGGTCAGTTCCATTAGTTTCAGAAAATTAGTGGGAAATTTAAAGCAGTTCCCAGATTTTCAGATAACTTCAGAGACGTCAAAAAGTTAATTGAGGTCTTCGCATAAGCTCAGAAGTTCACTGAAGCTTAACCATTTTTAGGATCGTTCAATTAAATTCAGCGCAGTACAACAAGCTGCATGAGAACTGCAAAAACTTTAGAGAAGTTTTGAGAATTTCGGAAAAGAATACAGAACCTCAGAGCAGTTCCGTTAAGATGAAAGAAGTCACATAAATTTCAAAGAAGTTTAGAGAACTTCATTGAATTGTTAAACCTTTAGGGGAGATCCATGATCGTTAGAAAAATTGAGGAAACTTTAGAAAGTCCTATAAAGTTCAGGGAAGTTTGAATTTGATGAGAAGTATTGTGGGCATCAGGCTAGTTTCTCAAACTACAAAAGAACTTCAAGGCAGTTACATTAACTTCAGGAAAAATTTGGGAACATTCAAGTAGTTCTGAAGCCCTCAGAATAGTCCATTCCATATCCAACGGAGATTTCCATTGAAATATTCCTCAAAATTTCGATGAAGCTATCCTCCGATTTTTTTATGAAATTCTAAGCAATATGAACCCTTTGGAAAGATTCTCCGAATATTCATTGAATTAACTTCCGATTTCCTTTTGAATCTCACTCCTTTCCTTGGCATTCTACTAGAATTTATTGACATTTTTCCACACAAATTCCTTCGATTTCTTTTCATAATTTGTTTGGCAAACTCTCCTGAATTTATTTTTCAAATTCCTTTGAAGATGTCCTGGAGGTATTCTTAGATTTAATTGTAATCCTCCTTTTAGTATTTTATTACAAATTCCAAGGACTTATGCTCTGGATTCGTTTTCTACCACAAACTTTATGAAATTATCCTCAGAATACCCTTGGAGTTTTCATTAAAATTTACTTTTAATTCAATTCAGGCTTCACATGAAATCAAAATTCATCAGAACTACCTTGAAAGCAGATAGAATTTGATGTTTTATGAAAGATTTTTTTCGATAACTCCCTTGGAATGAGGTCCTTAGAAATAATAATAAAATTCTACGGGCCTTTAAAACTGTGCATGAAATTTGACTCCAGATTCTTAAAACTTCTTAAGGTATTATAGTTCTTGTGTGCCATCATAACGACTACTTTTTTTTTCTCTTAGGTCACTTATTAGTTACTATTTTAACAACTATGGGACTTATTACGGATGTCACTTCACGGTGAAAACTTGTCACTTGTCTTGTTCCGCAAAGTAGCCAAGAGATGTTGTACACTGAACAATTTGATCCTTCAAATGCTCAAAGGCTGTTGCCTCGATCTTCCATATCCGAAAGCCTGGCCCTTGCGCTGTCCCTATAGGCTGCAGGGACATTGTAGTACGCGTTTTTGGTCGGTGGTATGAATGTATCAACGCTAAATTTCATCAAAACACCTGGTACTTTGGGAAATTTTGAAATTTGCTCCGCTTTCTCACATCTATTGACGTTCACACCGACTTGTAGCAGCCTTAAATCACTTGCCGTGGAACGACCCAATAGCGAACGGGAACCTTGATGAACGACATAAAACATAGCCATAATCAATGGTTTCTGACACCCTTCTACCTCGATTTCAACTTTGAATGCACATTGTACAGGAACTGGTTTGCAGGACGCGTATGGCCGCAGATTGCTGTTGATTTCCGGACATGATCCGAATTTATGAAAAAGACGGTTGCACTTCGGGCAACGTGATCGCCGTCCTAATCCTCGATTCCTAAACTCATCCGTCTCACGCTTCTTCGTATGATTCCATCTATCGGCCGTCGATTCGTGCTTCCGCTTCCATTGCTGTGTTTCACCAAATGTTCGTGGATGATTCCGAGTAACTGCAAGTGCCTGTGAAGGTTCCGTTTGAGTTGTTTCGGCTGTATATGCTTCTTCACGGGTGGCGGATTGGACAATGAAGAGGGTCTCATATCCAAACGTCCTTGCCGCTTTCACCAACTCTTTGTTCCGCATCCCTTTCAACAACTGTGCATGAATGAACCGATCCTGATCGACGCTACTGTAACCGCAGAGCCTGTTTTTTTTCACTGTGCAGTGTTGGTAACCAGAATGTAAATAAGTCTTTAGTCCTTAAGTCGCTACTGACTTGGCTAACGGAAGCCCAATGTTCGTATTTTCCAATGGGTAGGTTAGGGTAGGGTAGGAAGGACTTTTCTCGCAAATTCTATTTGACTTAAAAAAAAACGCATTAGTTATTAGACAATCACTTAATATCACAGTCATTATTACAACTTTTATGTTTTCATTTATTTAGTATTTTCTACTCTTCGCACGGGCATTTTCTTTACCTAAATGGGTGCTACATTGTGTTTGTAATCTTTCCTGTACAGTCAACCCTCGATAAGTCGATTATGTGTGAGTGTCGATTTCGACTAAGGGACGATTGCTGTGGATTCACTATAGATTACTGGGTTCTATATGGAAGTCGATTTCAAAATGATGTTTCTGCATTCTTGAAATATCATTCATTTTCTGTAATATGACTATATAGAACAGCAGACCAATTGAACATGGAACTCCCAAATCCATATATCTTTGCAGCTCTGAAGGTTATGACCGCAAATATGGCATGCAAGTTTTGTAGATGAATAGCAAGTTATAGGAAAATTAAATTAACACAATCTAGTTCATTTTTAGGAATCTAATGGCACTCATTGTTGAAATTAATCTAAAAGGGTTGATGGCCCTAATATTAGGCCCATGTATAGATTTCGAAGGAAAGATTAATTGTTTCAAAATGTTTCACTAGTGACCAAAAATATCCATTTGGATTGTCCAGATGACGCATTGCTCTACGAAAAAAAAAAATGATCCATAGGCCAACATTAGAGCCATTTCCCCTATATCAATATTGTTCGTAAGTTTCACTACTTGATAATGCTATTCTGGTTCATATATTTCTAATGAGCTACGATTTGTTGGTTGTTGTTGTTATTGTTGTAGTTTGATATCTCCATTGTTGATCACATCTTGGCGGATTGCTTGCTATTTTGTGTGCTTTGTTTCTTTCATTGGTAGACCTGAGAAGCAGCATTCAAAGAGTATTAAATCTAGAGGAGATAATTAACAAATGTTGATCAGACAAGGATTTTGTTGTTGTTGAGTATAGATTACTTGATCGAATTCAATGAAGATGGATTAATGGAAACTTGTTATCACGGTGAAAATGTGCGAAGCATAAATCCAAATTTAACTCACTTCATTATTCGAATAGTAATCATCTTCCGTAACCAGACGCTGTCGCATTCCGTATCGTTGTCTGAAAAAGCGAGAAAAACAACAACATTATGAACAGTCCAGTTTCGCAAATTGTTCAGAACATACTCTAATCGGTTCCGATAGAGCACCATTGCAATGTAGGCTGCAAGTGCTAACACAATGATTGCGCCTACCATGATGATCCATATGTGCTCCTGCCGCATGGCCGACACCTCGATGGTTGCATTGTCAATTATTAAGGGGTAATGAATTTGCTTGTTTCTGAAAAATACCATTTTATTTAGTAATGTCATACATTCATCTATTTTCCAAACTAATGCTCCTACCCAAACTGTTCTTCCAGTCCATCTTCTAGAACCGGATCTTCCGGTTGAAGTTCTTCGGCATCATAATCAGTGTCGTCCTCCTGACTATCGGGTTTATCTTCGTCCTCCTCACTGCTATTATAGTCGTCATCCGTGTCTTTCTTCTCGCCATCATTGCTGTTCGATGACGACAGGGTGGCGTTGTTACCGTTATTCTTATTATTGCTACTGCTGCCAGTCGCCTTAATTGACTCATCATTGCTGACCGTGCCTCCTACCGATGCAAGCGGTTGCCGTTGCACGTTTTGACCCTGATCAATGAAATGAAAACAACAACAGCAAATATGGTGAGTACAAGTTATAGGGTAGGTGTTCCAGTAATATTTAGTGGTGTACCTATGATAGTTGCGGTATGGGGACTATAACCGGAATAATGGGGGAAAACTAAAGTCCTCTTAGTAAACGTATGGACGTCTGGCACGTGTTTACTAGAGTGTTTTGAGGAAACTCAGATAAGTTTATTTTCCATCGGTAACTCTCCTAAAATAAATTAGATTTGCATAGGGGAAGTGTAGACTGTGAGATCAACCCAAATTTGAGTTCAGTTTACTCATAATTGCAAAAAAATGGAGATCGTAGTGTGCTAAGCCTGAAGAGAGACATGGAAAAATTTCAATCGTCAATGTTTTGCCAAGTTTTTTTTTTCGTGTTTTGTGAAGTTTTAAGTAGCGTTCCTTCAACTATGGTTCGTTTGCTTTATTGGACACCCGGGACTTCTTCAACCGCCGATCATCATCTCCGACCGGTTCGGTCGGCCTCTTGGGACCTAGCAACAATAGCCGTCCCTATTGGTTGTTCTTTTCGGCTCTTTGTGTTTCTTACGAGTTGGTCAGATTCTCCAATTAGCAGCCTCAATCCATTTAACCACAAGTCATCTCCTTTGACCATTTTTGCTGGCATCATCTGGCCGCTCTTTCTTCTTCTTCTTCTTCTTCTTCTTTCCTTTATTTTATCGTCGGTCTCTGTTCCACAATCTAGTGCCAATAACCGACGGACATCGATTGCCATCCATTGACGGCAATCGAATGTGCAGGAAGGCAGCTTCCACACCTGCGTAGGATATCGCACCCATTCAACAACACACATGGGTCGGGACCAACGGCTTTACTTCCCTGCCGAAGAAAGACGTGACCAGGGATTTTTATGCCTCAGACAAAATCCCACCGACCTAGGCTGGGATTGAACCCAGACCCATTGGGGTGAGAAAGCAGTCACGCTTACCACTACACCACCGGCGCCGGCTATCTTGCCGATCAACTGATGGGCCACACAAGAATTTTGGTTTCACCAACACTAATAGCAACAATCAATACGAAACTATCGATTTTGAATTGGCTCACTACTTGACTAGCCTATTCGTCCCAAGCAAATCGATTATCGTACCCCATTCTAGTCGAAATTCTAGTACTACACGGCAAGAAAAATTAAGTTATAAAAAACTCAACGTTAGGTTCTATCATTTGAGGTGTGTCGTTGAGTGAATCAGAAAAGCGGCGTTGGTTAAAATTTACTCAACTTTTGAGTTAAATATAAGTTTATTTTCATTGAGATTGCTCTTATGTGCCTTTAACCATTTCATTTTCACAAGCGTTGATAGACGAGTGGTCAACACACGGGCCCCGTAATCTTAACGTCCATGGTTCGGTTCCAGTCTGCTCCGTTTTATTATTTTTTTGTCAACTTGGTCAACGTGGATTCATGATCAGGATTACTCAAAATTGAGTTTTCTTCTTTAACCTTATTTTACCTAGCCCCACGGAAGCCACGTGATGAGTGAAAGGAACTCAATTTTGGGTACTTTTTTCTTACCGTGTACACTATGTTTGTTTTGATTCACTATGAAAGTTTGACAGATCAAATGAGGGGTTCGTGGATTTTCCTATGTTTCGGGGGGTGCATCGATTAGCTTGGGACCGAAGAGAGTACAAAAGCTGAGCCAAGTCGTTGTGCCAATTTGGTCGTGGCACATTTCGAGTATGAGAGAGTAATTGCAGTTAGCTCAAAAGTGCCTGAGAAAAATGCAAGTACTTCCGCAGATTACCCGAAGTTGCGATAGTGAAGGTATGATCACAGAAAAGCAGACATAACACTCTTAAAACGTTCATAAAAATCGTTTTTAACGGTCAATTTAAATGTTTCTTAGTTGGTAGTATGTACTGCCATTTGTGGTGCACATAATCAATTCCCTAGCGTTTGACGTTTACACACTACAACCCTCTGTTGAGTGTATTGCCCATTAAAGTATATACGACAGATGGCGGTAGGGTTTACAATTATAAATTTTCAATGTGTTGTGTATGCTTGTCTGTGAAATAACATTGAGGTAACGTTAGCATAAATTCAAAACATTGAGAAATATTACGCATCACTTTGAGAAATATTTCACTTCGCAACCGATGAACCATTCTGACGGCCATATGAGTACCCAAGTAACCATATAGTCGCAATATAGCTTGTATATTCTTACTTTGCTTGAGTATGGTTAGTTGGGGAATCTGATGAAACTGTCACTTCTTGAAACTGATCCTTTTCGTATTTCTTTCATTCTCCTTTCGCAAACGGAGCGCTCGATGGACCAGTGACTTTGAACGTGAGCCTCGTCCCAGATCACCATGGCAATTCAATAACATATGGTGGACATCAAACAGACCAAAACATGCGGATTCATATTAGAACCAACCAACCAAGGACGGTCTACGGAAGGAAATTGCCGGTGAAGCACGGAATGAAATACGAAGCGTTAGAGAAAAAGTCCAAGGGATTCCAAAAGAAGCAAATAACGACGGCGGAAGAGCAGAATATGGTGAGAGCTTTCCATTTATTAAAAAAAATATATATATATATATTTATATATCAAAATTACACTAAATAGGGGAAATGATGGCTTCGGCATGACAGACTATTTTCGGCAACCCAAACTGAAACACTATTTTCACTGGATTTTCTTACGAAAAAACTTCGCTGAATGCATGCAAACGATTCTTTATGCTTTCAGCTTCAATTTGACTATATTTTTACCACTGAGAAAAAGCAATCTAGCAAGGTTTTCTTGAAATGCAACACACGCACTACAAATTGTAGCTGATTTCGAGTTGCCGATAATAGAACAGCAGATTTACATGCAGTTCAAATGGAACGGTTGCCGAAGAAAAACTGGTTGCCGACAATACTCGCTCTCACTAGAGAAGATTGGAGCTTTGTAAAAGCGTTTCAAAACAGTTTTTGACAATTCTTTCGACTGAAATTTTTAGAGCAGCTGACAGCAAAAGATTGTAAACAAACCAATACTGCATATGTGTGCGTACCTTAGAGAAAAAGGCTATAGAAAGAAGGTCGCTGCTTAGGTTGCCGATAATACGTAAATTCCCCTACATGCCAGGGTTGAAAAGAATATTTTCGAACCTGGAAGTGTGTATGTATCACCAATATCCATTTGATAACGGTGATGCATACATGCGGGGCTTATTGTGAGTGAAAGTAACCTCGGAATGGGCGTGACTCTCCAGACAATCTGAAATGGGTTGCTGGATCTGCAATAGAGCTATCACCTTCTTACTCCCGGACTAAAGCTGTCTATAATGACCATAAATGCGACATTGTAGAGAGAGTTCTTCCATAATAACACTGCCGGCCAGTGGGGGTTAGAGGGAATACAAACACAAAAAAAAACAACGCTAGGCAGTATCAATTGGCATCTACTTCCATATTATATGACAAAATTACGAACTTTGGTCATGAAAAATGTGAAAACAACATCAAGTCAGTTTGTCCCATCAAGCAAAATAATCGCATATCAGTCCCATCCTGAAATTCAATCGTCCATAGTTCAAGTTAAAGTTCAGCTTTTTGAATTGCCATATGTTTCACTGATATAACAAAACAAGCAAGCTTCATTGCAACTGATTTTAGCTTTAAAAAATTAACAATAAATGAATGCGTGGCCGGGAATAGCGACAGTCATGCTTTTGGTATTCTTGTTTAGATTGAAATTAACTTATCCCAAATCCTCTATGAAGTTCCTTAAATTTGTGAAATGTTCTGCAATTTCTGGAAAGTTGCGTCCACTTCTACGAAGTTTTCTGAACTTGTACTACTACAACTATTTTTTTACCAAGATTGCTGAACTTGTAAATATTTCCTATGTCTCATGCACTGTTCCGGTAAACTGACCGTTTTTTAATCTGAACACTTTTTAATTTGAACCACGTTAATCTGCACATACACACGTTCAAACTATAAATGGTTCAAACGTCATTTAGCTCATGGAATGGAGCAAAGTGAAATGGAACATTGTGAAACGGAACGCAAAATCAAAACAAAACAGCAAATAATAGGACTACCAGACACACGCTTATTTAGTGATGATGATTATAGATACTATAGTTTCCATACACGCTAAGATCAGATAACCCAAATGTAGGTTTATTTTACCCAAATCAGGCGTAAACTGCACAAACTCAGATATGGGTAAATTTTTTAACCCAAATATGGGTAAATTTAAGTCAAATTTGCATAAAAAAAAATCATTTATGGATCATAAGAACCCATATTTGGGTTAAAAAAATTTACCCATATGTGAGTTTGTGCAATTTACGGCCAATCTCGGTAATCTCTTTGTACCGTCTAGGTAAACTGATCTTAGCGTGTAGATAAGCCGAGAGATAAGCGGAGGCACAACAAGTTGTCATAGCAACCATGAAAAATAAATGATCTTACTGGCGTCCGTGAAAAATGATCATGCCATTATAGAGCTCTTCGTTGTGTAGTTTTGTTTTGTTTTGCTTTCTTTTGTGCGCAAAAGTTAAAAATGAAGCGCAAAGCAAATCTTTGCAACAATGATTTTTGAGAAGTGTTTTCCTTCTTCCGTTTTCCGCGAGATAAATAGGAATGTGGAGTGTGGAAAGCGTTTTGTGCTCATAATATTACAATACTTTCCCCGCAAAAAACATCATGATGACGTCATGCTCGTTTGGCTACACTAACTGACAGTTCGTTTGGCTACATTCTACTTTGCCTCCGCTTATCTATGGAATCTATAATATCTATAATGATGATATTTCAAATTCAAAATTAACTTCCACGGTAATTGAGGTAAATAAAGGGTGTCTACGATGAAATTGCCACACTATGAAATTGCTCTAACTTTTTAACCGTTGGGTAGAATTTAATGAAAATTTGGGTGGATTTAGTTCATAGTGCATTATTTACATCCTGCAAGTTTTAAAGTCCTGTGATCAAAACTCGCGGAAAT